AGGGACAGAATAATTTAAAAGCGATGTACTATAGGGTATTATGGTTATCACGAGTCCACAATTAAGGTTGCATAGTGGAATGTACTTGGGGCGCTGGCAGGGGTGCAGGGGGATTGTGTACCAGGGAGGGAGTTTTTCTTTTACTTTTCAAAGAGAGGAGCAAACTGGGGAGTGGGGGGAGGGCTGGGCGGGGAAAGAAGTGCAGCAATGAATGAATGGAAATCCAAAATCTCTGTATATGTTCATTAAAATTATTAAAATTACAAAAAAAATAATTTCAATGTTAAAAAAAAAAAAAAGCCCTGTCTGTCATCCTAGGCCTAGCAATAGGTTGCCTTTTGTTAGGGAGAAAGGCAATCAGGTAAGTGAAATTCTTGATCTTGTTACTTCCTAGCAGCTGGCTAATTTTTAACACCTTCACCATTGTATCTGATTATTGCAGACTGATGTTCTCCTCCAAGTAAAGACCACAGCTTATATCTCTGAAAGAAGAAAGTAGTGATTACTCTGAAACTTCTGTATATGAAGAGCCGTTATCTGGGGTGGGAGAGCTGGAAGGCTGAGTCAGATAGCTAAGGGTGCTTTCTAAAGATACTTGTCTAAATGTTGTCATATGAAAGGTTATAGAAATGTCACATTCCTATAATGCAGAGCAATGATTTAGAGTTGGCAGGAGACAGGAGAGAGGTCCTAAACTGAGAGCTGCACTAAATTGTGCTTGTTGAATCCTGTCCAAAGGCTTGCCGTTGTGTCCAGTGGACACAACACAGCATTAGCTAACACAACATAGCCCTAGCTGACTCAGTAGACCAGAGATAGCCGATCTGTCTCCCGCTGAGTAGGTATGTTCTGGATGCCAGCACATCTTCTTACCACTAAGACACCAGAGCTCCTCAAAGAGGTAGAGAATGCCCAAAACTTCATTTTGCCACTTCCAAAGTTCGGAACCCCTTCCCAAGTCTCACTTTATCACGGTTTCGTCTTATTTTGTCTAAGCATTCTTTCTTCATCTTCACTCTTGCCAATTTCCCATCCCCCATTCCAACAGTCGCTTAATTAAAAGAGCAATAAAACATTGGACTCCGCCAACCACTTGTAGCACTCAACTCAGAATGCTTGTTGTTGTTGTTATGTGCCGTCGAGTCGTTTGCGACTCATGGCGACATTATGTACAACAGCCCTAAACCCTGCTCTATCCTGTGCCAATCTCATTGCCTCTGACACACCCATCCCGAGTACCCCAGTCACTGAATCAATCCACCTCATAGAGGGTCTTTCCCTCCTGCGCTGTCCCTCCACTCTACCCAGCATGATGTCCCTCTCCAAAGACCTGTCTCTCCTTACAACATGTTCAAAGTATGTCAGACGAAGCCCCAGAATCCTTGCCTCCAAGGAGCAGCCTGGTTTAATCCTCTCTACGATGACTCTGTTTGTTTTCTTGGCAGTCCATGGTACCCTCAATACTCTTCTCCAGCACCACAACTCAAAGGCGTCAATTCTCCTTCTATCCTCCCTAGTCATCGTCCAACTCTCTGATGCATAACAAGTGATTGCAAAAGCCATGGCCTGTATCCAGAGAGAATGCTTAGCTGTTATTAACCTATGCATAGCTAAAGAAAGGCGGTAAGGGCTCAAAACTGTAGAGCTGTGCTTTTTGAGCACAACTAGTAGTTTGAGGAGCCAGCCCCACGTAAATGAGTCCTGCTGTGGGACGCAAGCCCAAGAAAACAAACATCCTAAGGTCCTGGGGCGAGGGAGGTCTGGTGGAGGCAGCGCTTCTTCCGGCGGTTCGGAAGTCTTCCTCGATTTACAGCCTCTGAAACCCAATGACTTGTAAGCCAGAATCGACTCGATTGCAGTGAGTGAATGTGCTTGGGAGGAAGCGCACACTGTAATTCAGCCGTTTTCGTAAATAGCTGTCACCGTACCCAGCAAAAGCCGGAATCCGAACTTCCCCAGGCTTCACACGATTCGTTCCTTCCGGCAGTCTCGCGGGATCAGGTTTGCTGTTGTTAATGACGTCACGGCCAATCGTGAGCCGTGGCGCTTTGACACTCTAGCCCGCCACATACTCGCTGCTCTGCCGACCCCGTGGGGCTGGCTCTCTAGCCGGGCAAATTGTTTTGCCCTACTTGGCTTTCCCTGGAAAGTCGGGCGGTCTGGTGTTCTCCGAAGATGGTTGAGCATTCTTGAGACTTCAGTTCCCTGGTTGCCAAAGCAGGAGACGTACATCGGATGAGCACTCTGTCTACATCTATACCTGGATCCTAGGACACGATTGGATTCATTGGAGAGGTTTTCAGAAACCTCGCTTTAATTAATAAAGTCCTCATCCCTGTCCCAAGTCTCCACCACTTACCCCATCATGGACTCCGCAGACACTTGCTCCACCTTCCTATCGGATCTGGATTTCTGCCCGGATTGCGGCTCGGTTCTTCCTCTGCCTGGGGTTCACGATACAATCACTTGTACTCGTTGTCGTTTCTCTATCAACGTGAAGGGTGAGTAGCTTCTATTTAGCAGGCGTGGTGGAGGGCCCAGGATGGAAGGTCGGAAGTTGGGGGACCCCCAAAATGGGCGAGATTGGGAAAGGGGGTGCTAGAGCAGGCAATCAGAAGCAGTACCTGAAAGTGAGACAATTGGGGAGTATGTGGGACAGTCCTTCTCCCGACTTAACTGATCGTTCTTACCTCCTGTGCAGATTTCGAAGGGAAGGTTGTAAAAACTTCATTTGTTTTCCACGAACTTGGGACAGCCATGCCATCGTCGATGGAGGAAGCAGCTGAGTTCCAGGGACCTGTGGTAAATTAATGAGATCAAGAACCATATATAGGGGGAGGCAGGGATGTCCGGTTTTGTAATCAGCTCCAAGAGGGAAGAAGAATCTTTCGAGCAGCTCTGCCTGTGGGATGTGATAGCCTGATTCCTGTAAGTAAGAGACCATAAGCCAACTTCCCCAAGCTTACAAGTTTCTTCACAGATTGACAGACGCTGCTCTCGATGTGGCCATGAGGGAATGGCATACCATACCAGACAGATGCGTTCAGCTGATGAAGGGCAGACTGTGTTCTACACCTGCACCAACTGCAAGTAAGTCTTCTTTTCTCTCTTAGTTTGTTTGCTAAACTAAACAAGTATAGTGACTTACATTTTTACTAAAGGAACTTTTACCCCCTTTGCTTCCATCTCATGTGTCTATACATTTCAGGTAATAGGGAACTAAGTGATTTTTTTCTTACCATTTTTTGGTAGCCATTGACTGAAACTTTTAAAATATTTAGAAGCAGATGAAAAAAACATCAGGCAGATGTTGCATAGTGTCTACCATGTTATACTGGAGCCTTTCACTATAATGATGGTAGTTTTGGTTTAAGAATTAGTAAAGGGTGTGACTCTAAAGGGTTTTGAGAACTGGAGTTTCAGCAGAAACTATAAAGATGTGATTATCCATTTTTTGTGCTCTCTGAGATTTATTGGACTTTCCAAAGTTGGGGACTGAAAAAAAATTATTGGGATTGATTTCCTTCCTCCAACCCCAGTCAGCCTTATTAATTAGCCATTATCTCACTGGATGTTGTCTATTGAGAGTCAACTTCCTTTCTGCAGAGCTGGAATTGTTAGTCTTTTTTTTGAGTTTACACAGAGGGGTAGCCCTCAGGGCAGAAGCAAATTTAAATAGTTCAGTGCCCCTTTTGACTGTAAAAAAGACCTTCACCAACTTTATGTTGTTGTTGTTATGTGCCCTCAAGTCGTTTGCGACTCATAGTGACCCTATGTACAACAGTCTTAAACCCTGCTCTATCCTGTGCCAGTCGCATTGCCCCTGACACACCCATCCTGATTACCCCAGTCACTGAATCAATCTACCTCATAGAGGGTCTTCCCCTCCTGCGCTGCTCCTCCACTCTACCCAGCATGATGTCCCTCTCCAAAGACCTGTCTCTCCTTGCAACATGTCCAAAGTATGTCAGACGAAGCCCCAGAATCTTTGCCTCTAATGAGTAGCCTGGTTTAACCCTCTCTAGGGTGAATCTGTTTGTTTTCTTGGCAGTCCATGGTACATTCAATACTCTTCTCCAGCACCACAGCTCAAAGGCGTCAATTCTCCTTCTGTCCTCCCTAGTCATTGTCCAGCTCTCTGATGCATAGTAAGTGATTGCAAACTTTATAGGGGGAAACTATTCCTGCCCACAGCAACAATAACACAAAACCAATTCCCATGAGGTCAGGCATGTCTCCCACACTCCCTTGCCTCCTTCTACTCATTCATCTCAACACAAATCTTACTACTTGGCTGGGTCCAGAATCTGATATGATAGCTCACAGACCACACAAAACCATATTAGGGGAGGAAAAGGTTATAATTCAGATTAAAAACAAAATACAATCAAGACAGTTCCCAAAGTGTGCATGTAGGCACCTCAGCCTCAAGCCTCATGGCTCTAATTGTCCAACAAAGTTCTTAGTCCTGCCAACACTGGCTTTTGCCCATCCCAAAGTCCCATCTCACATCCAGTTCTCCAGTTCATGCTGATGCTGTCATCCCAAAGAGGTTGGGAGAAATCTCTCTTCTCTAGCTAGGCAAATAATCTCTTCTGATGCAGGAAGAATTTCTTCTGGTGACAGAAGACTTCCTATTTCTCAGCTAGAGTTGTTCCATTTATTGTTGAGACTAGTCAGTTCTTTTGTAGATTATTGAGTGAGACCGGCCAGTCCTCTTGTGGAATGGTAGCCAGTCTCTTTGTGGAGAGGCCAGTAGGCCTCACTCACTCAGTCCTGCCCCTCCACATAGTCATCTACACTAGAAAAGCCGTATTACGAGACAAACTCCACAAGATACTGTATATTTTGTCTTTGATTTCCTTTGTCTCTCTTCCATGTGGCTTTCAAAACAGTAATTTAGGAACACTGGAATAGCAGGAGACTTTAGCTTTAACTTCCTGGATTTCTTATTTTACATAGATTTTCACCAGTGAAAGATTTCACTTTCTTAGAAGCATAGTATTTCAAGAATTTGATTGGTAACCAAAAGCTAGTGGTTCAAACCTACCAGCCAATCTATTGGAGAGAGATAAAGTAGCCTAAAGAGTGTAAAAGATTTATAGCCTTGGTCACCCTCCAGGCAGTTCTGCTTTTTCCCCCTACTAAGTCACTATCAGTTACAATAGATGTGATGGCAGTGGATTTGATTTTGGTATATATATATGTGCCAAGAAATTTGGAGAACAGCCAGCTGGCCCATTGACTGGAAAAGATCGATATTTGTTCCCATTCCAAAGAAAGGTGACCCAACAGAGTGTGGAAATTATAGAACAATATCATTGATATCACATGCAAGCAAGATTTTGCTGAAAATTGTCCAAAAACGTTTAGAACAATATGTCAACAGAGAACTGCCAGATGTGCAGGCTGGATTTAGAAGAGGTTGTGGTACTAGGGATATTATAGCTAATGTCAGATGGATCGTAGCAGAAAGCACAGAATACCAGAAGAATGTCTATCTGTGCTTCATTGACTATGCAAAGGCTTTTGACTGTGTGGATCACAACAGGCTGTGGCTAACTCTAAGAAGAATGGGAATCCCAGAACGTTTGATTGTGCTAATGCAAAACTTACACTTGGACCAAGAAGCAGTTGTCAGAACAGAGCAAGGAGACACTACATGGTTCAAAATCAAGAAGGGGGTTTGTCAGGGATGTATTCTGTCTCCATACCTTTTCAATCTGTATGCAGAACAGATCATCCGAGACG